AGACCCGACCCGACCAAAATAAAGTTTCACCCGACCCGACTCGAATATATGAATTAGAAATTCGACCCGACCCGAAATAAAAAAAATATTCAATAAAAACAATTACTTAATTGAAAAATATATATATATATAGAGGGGTATTATTGTAATTATTCCTAAATATATAAGGTAAAATTATATATTTTTTGGGTCGGGTCGGGTATTTTTCACCCTAAACCCGAACCCGATATGAATATCACACTTAAAAAAAACTGATCCCACCCGACCAAAATAAAGTTTCACCCGACCCGACCCGAATATATGAATTAGAAATCCGACCCAACCCGAAATAATAAAAAAATTATTTTTATTCAATAAAACAGTGACTTAATTGAAAAAAATTATATATAGAGGGGTATTATTGTAATTATTCCTAAATATATAAGATAAAATTATATATATTTTTGGGTTGGGTATTTTTCACTATAAACCCGAACTCGACCCGACCCGAATATCACAATTAAAAAAACCGACTCGATCCGACCAAAATAAAGTTTCACCCGACCCGACCCGACCTTACCCGAATATATGAATTAGAAATCCAACCCGACTCGACCCAAAATAATAAAAAATATTTTTATTCAATATATGAAAAAGTTACCAAAAGATTGATGAGGGTAGTATGATCAAATTTAAACTCCCTCCAACAAGAAAATTGAATTCTATCATAGAATGGATGGAATTCACTTTCCCTCATTTGATGAAAAGTTGAAGACATGAGGGATTCCAATTCCCTTGGAAAACTTGAACCAAACATAGGAAAGTGGTGGAATTTGATTCCAATTCCCCCTAATTCTAATGTGGCGTTTGGTTCGCTAGAATGTTTATGAGGGAATTAGAATCTGTGAAGGAATTGAAATCTGTCAGGAATTGGAATCCAATTCCATATTTTGTTTGGTTGGCAGGAAATAGAACTGGAATCCAATTCCATATTATGTTTGGTTCACAGACATGTCAGATGAATTTGATTTCAGTATTGTAAAATGACAGAAATGCCCTTCTTGTTTTTTTGTTTTATTTTAGTTTGTTTTACAACTTACATGTAGTAATATATTATAAAAAATTAAAAAAAAATATTAAATTTTCATTTTATTGATTAATTATTCATTTCAATAAATTATAAAAAGCATGCTAATAAACATCATAAGTTAAAATTATCGCAATCAAAATATGTTAATAAGTTACCAGAAGATAGAGCAATATTTCGATACATTCCAATCGGAGTATGTTAATTAGTTACCAAAAAATATACCAAAAACTATTTTTATTCAATAAAAATATTGACTTAATTGAAAAAAAAAATTATATATAGAGGGGTATTATTGTAATTATTCCAAAATATATAAGGTAAAATTATATATTTTTTTTGGGTCGGTCCGGTTTTTTAACCCTAATCCCGACCCGACCCGAACCGAATATCACACTTTAAAAAACCCGACCCGACTCGACCCGAATATCACACTTAAAAAACTCGACCCGACCTAGATAAAATAAAGTTTCACCCGACCCGACCCGAAATAATAAAAAATTATTTTTATTCAATAAAAACAGTGACTTAATTGAAAAGATACATATAGAGAGGGGTATTATTGTAATTATTCCTAAATATATAAGGTAAAATTATATATATTTTCGGTCGGGTATTTTTCACCCTAAACTCGAACTTGACCCGACCCAAATATCACACTTAAAAAAACAGACCCGACCCGACCCGAATATATGAATTAGAAACCCGACCCGACCCGAAATAATAAAAAAATATTTTTATTCAATATATGAATAAGTTACCAAAAGATTGATGATGATAGTATAATCAAATTTCAATTCCCTCCAACAAGAGAATTGAATTCCATCCATTCTTGGATGAAATTCACTTTCCCTCATTTGATGGAAAGTTGAATCCATGAGGGATTCCAATTCCCTTTGAAAACTTGAACCAAACATGGGAAAGTGGTGGAATTGGATTCCAATTCCCCCAATTCCAAATGATTCCATCCAACCAAACACTAAAGGATTTATGCGAACCAAACACCACCTAAGTTGATTGATGATGTGATAATCTTTTCATAGAAACCCAAAACTCAATTGTTTTTCTTGATTAAAAAGATAAAATTATAGTTATAAAATATTTATTTTTCTCTCGTTAAGCTTTTTTTTAGGAAAAACAGCTCAACCTCATTATTTGGATAATTTTTTGAAAAATAGCTAATAATGTTTTAACAATATTTGTAATTTAGAGGATCAATAGTAATTTATCTCAGATGATTAAAGCGTTACAATAACGATAGTAGGATGAAATAAGGTGATAAGCAAACATCTTATTTTAGAGTTGTGTTCATCCCTTTTTAAATAGGAATAGGTCGATTAACTAAGTTAGGCACCCATTTTATTCTGACTACTATGTTGGAATTAAGTGAAGCACAGATCCTGAAATAGTGGGAAAACATATATATTTAGTAAAAACTTGACACTCCCATTTCAAATCTTACATAATTAGTACGTAATTGCTGACTGCTATCATTGTCTTCTTGGTTTAATTCGAGAAATATTATGAAAAAAAGTAGGGATTTACTTGGAATTAAAAAAATAGTTAGATAATTACGAAAATTTCTACCAGAGTCATCAAAGTTGTTTGTATCTGAATACGACTTTGAATAAGGTATTTTTCAATTTCATCTCTGTGGGAGGTTTTTATTTTTTTTAATTTAATATAAAAATAAGTGTCTAAATTATATTATATTTTTTTATTTATCTAAATTATTTTTCGATCAGTTTAAGTGTTTAACGTTAACGACAATTAAAAACCATTATTTGGCATAGGGATGACCATGGATCGGGTTTCGGCCAACCTGACCCGATCCAAAAATTTTACATCCTTCACCCGACCCGACCCAAAAAATATATATCTTTCACCCGACTCGACTTTTTGTGATAAAATACGAACTCGATTCGATCCGACTCAAAATAAAAATAAAAATATTATTTTATTCAATAAAAACAGTGATTTAATTGAAAAAATAATATATAAAGGGATATTATTGTGATTATTCCTAAATATATAAGGTAAATTATATTATTTTTTGGGTCGAGTATTTTTCACCCTAAACCTGAATCCAACCCGACCAAAACATCATCTTTAAAAAAAACCTAATAATCCGTCAGGATTGAGTCCCAAGTCCATCCCTAATCTGGCATGTGTTGCATTCATATTTTTTCGAAATTTTCTTTTTCTTTAAAAAATTAAAAATACTATTTCAAAAACATTTTAGAAAATAATAATAATAATTTTACCCTCCATCGCCCCCTCCCCCTCAATAAACATTTCCCAAACCAGTGAGCCACGCATCGCACCTCCTCCCACCCGCCCCAAACACACTTTTATTTTAGAAAATAAAAAAAAATATTTTTTAAAATAAAAAACACATTAATTTCGAAATAATCCTAAAACTTTGAACACCTTCGTTTCAACCCCTAAATTTACGCCGACCGCCGCTCGTCCTCTCCTGTCACCGCCTAACCCAATCGAAGCGCCTCACCGCCATGATCAAAGCCCCCATAACAATTCGTGGATAGTCATCGTCGTTCGCCGAAATTGAACCCTTGAAATTTTGCCGAAAACCCACCCGACGCCTTGGATTTTGGACGATTTCGGCTGACTCGAACCTCTGTTCGCCTCACCGCCTCTATATTTAGCTTCCTCGTCGCCGTCCACTCAAAACCCAACTGGTGGGTCACGTCGTAGTCGTCATCCGCCACCGTAGGTAGGCTTCAGTGTTAGAAATTGGGCTTTTTTGTAATTTAAAAGAAACAAGATTGTGACACGTGTCACTTAATAGAAAAAAGTAACGGTCTGTCACGGTGTGATCCATTTTGAGTAACAGAATGAAACATTAAGCACCAAACTAGAACGAAAAGAACGTTAGACACTGAATTAGAAAAACAAACATACGTTTGACACCTTTTGTAAATTTAATCCTAAATGAAAGTATAAGCAAAGATAGTCTAAGCATACAATTTCATCAAAAGTATCAAGCTAGACCATTACAATATATGATCTACATAATAGACTTCTCATTCAATAACCGATTTCACCTAGCACTCGTTATCATTCACTAAGATTAAGATATTCATCAATTTATAATTGATTTACATATTAAGATCGTCGTACACAGTTTAGGCTCTAATATTAGAATTTACACTCATGATAATACTAATATTAATGAACTACTGATTTCACCTATCCTCAGATAACAAGTAAATCGTACATTAATCATATACATAAAAATAATGTTAGCATCTGATGTCATAAAAATAATGTAAGTCGTACACGATTTGTGTCTTGCTTTGAAACGATTATGACTTTAATAATTTATAAACTCTTTAAAAAGTCAACTGTATACGTTGTTTTGATTTCATAGTCAAATATTTGGGTTTAGTTTCTTTAAAAATTGGTTTGCAAGTCACTGTGGTAGGTAAAATTAATAACTAATAAATGAATTGCCTTTCATTGAAGAAGAGAAAATATTAAAACAATGGCACAGAATTCAACCTAAACAAGAGGGAAAATACCATTTGCTGAGCCAACTCCATCCTGTCTTAGTCTGACCAAAAACATATATCAAAATGTGAATGAGAAGCCCACTTGGGGTTGGGTTAGTTGCTAATATTTATTATTTTTCTCTTTTTTTAAAAAAAATAATTTTTTAATATAAAAGAAATACAGAGTAAATAAGTCTGGATGAAGCAGTGGTGGTTTCACACTAAAATTTGTGTAAAAAAATCGTATGAATCGTCTCCAAATTCTTGGATGCTTTAAAAAGATCCCTTCTGCTCATTTGAATCTCTTCTCTATTCTCAACTAATCATCTTCTGCCAGAAATCAGTGAAACCCAAAGCTTTTCTTTGAATATTTGTATGTAAATATATAATACCATACTCTTTTCCTGTTACCTACTAACAAAAGCTTCTTTCTTTTCGTTTTCCATGGCCATGGAACCTCAACCACCACCCAAAAAGTTCCTAACTCGGCTTAACTCGGCCCTGGCCAATAGTCGAGTCGGGAAACGTTTCAAACTCTCTCAACGGAACTCCACTTTCACGACTGAGTTACGTGCCGGCACAGCTACGTTTCTCACCATGGCTTACATCCTAGCCGTCAATGCTTCCATCCTGGCAGACTCCGGCGGCCCTTGCAGCGTCTCGCATTGCGTTCCTTTATGCTCCGACCCTTCTATTCAATTATCCAACTGTACCGGGTCAAGCCTTAGAGTCATCCAGCCCGATGTTTCATGCAAATTCGACCCGGTTAACCCGGGATACGCTTCGTGTTTGGAGAAAGTACGTAAAGATCTCATAGTAGCCACTGTTGCTTCTTCCCTGATTGGCTGCGTAATCATGGGTGCTTTCGCTAATTTGCCCCTGGCGTTGGCTCCGGGTATGGGTACCAATGCTTATTTCGCCTATACGGTGGTCGGCTTCCACGGGTCGGGTAGTATCTCTTACAAGGAGGCTTTAGCTGCAGTCTTCATAGAAGGGTTAATCTTCTTGTTCATTTCAGCTATGGGATTCCGGGCAAAGTTAGCTAAATTGATTCCCAAACCGGTCCGGATCAGCTCATCGGCCGGCATCGGACTTTTTCTGGCGTTTATCGGGTTACAAAACAATCAAGGAATCGGGTTAATCGGGTATAATCCATCAACCCTTGTGACCCTCGCCGGATGTCCGAGTTCGTCCCGTATTTCCGTTGCTCCGGTCATAGAATTGGGTAACGCAAGTGTGAGTTTAATGCCCGGAGGTACAGTCTCCGGCGACATTTTTTGCCTACGTAACAGAATGGAGAGCCCCACACTCTGGCTTGGAATCGTCGGCTTTGTCATTATAGCTTATTGCTTGGTGAAAAATATTAAGGGTGCTATGATTTACGGGATAGTATTTGTGACGGCGATTTCGTGGTTCCGTGACACTAAAGTGACGGCTTTTCCGAATACCGCCGCCGGTGATTCCGCCCATGACTACTTCAAGAAAGTTGTTGACATCCATTTAATTGAAAGTACAGCTGGGGCGTTGAGTTTCGACTCTATTGGTAAAGGCTACTTTTGGGAGGCTTTGATCACGTTCTTGTACGTTGACATTTTGGATACAACCGGCACGCTATATTCCATGGCTAGATTCGCCGGTTTCACAGACGAGAACGGAGATTTCGAGGGTCAATATTTCGCTTTCATGTCGGACGCGATGTCGATCGTGGTCGGATCACTGCTGGGAACCTCACCGGTGACCGCGTTCATCGAATCATCGACAGGGATACGAGAAGGTGGACGAACAGGATTGACAGCTTTAACGGTGGCTGGATACTTTTTGCTGGCGTTCTTCTTCACGCCGCTATTGGCGTCGATACCGGCATGGGCGGTGGGACCGCCGCTAATACTGGTGGGGGTGTTGATGATGAGAGCGGTGGTGGAAATTGAGTGGGATGACATGAGGCAAGCAATCCCTGCTTTTGTGACATTGATTTTGACGCCATTGAGCTACTCCATAGCATATGGATTAATCGGTGGGATCGGAACTTACATTGTGCTGCACATCGGTGACTGGACCAGGGATCTGTTGGTAAAGTATGGCGTCTTCAAAACAAAAGAGATTCTGGTCAATGGGACACATATTGACCATGCAACTGCAAAACCTGCTGAACTTGATCCTGTTTAGCTCTTTGCCTTTACTTTTGTTTTTGTCTCATATCTTTGTAAACCTTTCATATTTATCGGATAAATTACAAACCAGGTTAAGTGATAGTTATTATCTTTAAAGTTTTACATTTATTTAAGATTATTGGATAAGTAAAAATAAATGGTTGAGATTGACTTTTTTTTCTAGTGATTCTCATTTACTATTGTTAATCTCATACATATATTTTCACTTATCTAATGATCTTAAATTTGTATAAAATTAAAATAATTTTATATTGTATAATAAGATTATGTCCATATCTATGTATATGATTATTGTATTGAGTTTTCATAAAAACTTTATGTTGAATGTTTTGTCCAGTTTCTTATATGTTATCTTTAATCTTGTAATTTTGATTTATTCTTATATTATGTCAAAAGATCATCAATCATAGATCTCTTTTAATATCTAAAGATATTTAATGTAATAGTCAAATATATACATTTAATTAAAAAATTAAATTCGAATCTTAAAAATAAGTAATGACATTCGCACTGGGAGGGCCTTGTCCTCCCCAAATATTTTAGTTTAATTGCATATTTAAACCTCTCTCACTTTAGATATTGGTTAAATTAAATTGCCTCCTAATTTTTTTTACTATAAATATTTAATAAGTTATCTTATAAAATCAAATAATTTTATCATTCTCAATATTAGATTCTAATTCTATCTATAAAGACAATATTACTAGGGGGAAAAAACTAATGAAATTCTCTTTGTTTTAGCTTTCTATATCTGCTAATTAATTGCCCTTATTATACTATTATTATTATTATTGATGTTATATTTAAAGTCATTGTGTATGTAAATATTTCTGTTGAAAAACTCATCTATTGAAATTAAATGTATGATACGAATTGATTTGAATTAATTAAAAAAAAATCTTTCAAAAACCGGAAGAACAATAAAAAGTAGTTTTTGTTATCATCCATAAGATAAATAGACTAAACATAGGTCCAAAACTCAATTTGGCCAAATAGATAGGGATTGATTTTTTTAACTTAAGCAAATTGGATAGCGATGGCCACCCTTTGCGTCCGTTACTGAAATTGTTGTTTTTAATGGAAATTTTATCCACTGAGAAAAAGAAGATATTATTCTTTGTTTTCTAGAAATTCTTTGTTTTCTGATGACATTTGCCTAATAGTTCAATTCGCAACACAAATATTGATTTTTAGCTAAATATTTAATTTAGCTTCTAATTTTTTTTTCGCAACACAAGGAACAAGACAACATTGGTACTTGAGTCAAGCTCGTGGAATTTACCTAAGGCTGTTGTTTCATGTAACATCGATATAGCTTTTCTAACCATCGGAATATGTTAAGAATTTGAATCTAATTTTATATTCTGTTTGATTCGGAGACATGTCAGATGAATTTGATTTCAGTAATGTAAAATGACAGGATTACCCTTTTTGTTTTTATTGCTTAATTTTAGTTTGTTTTATAAATTACAGGTAGTAGTATATTATAAAAAATTAAAAAAATAAATTTTAATTTTATTAATTGATTATTTATTTTAATAAATTATAAAAATTATGCTAATAAACATCATAAGTTAAAATCATTCCAATTAGGGATGGTCATGGGTCGGGTTGGGTCAGGTTTTTGGTCTACTCGACCCGACCCGAGAACAAGGGAACCTCCATCCGAGACCCGACCCGAACAAAATAAAATTTCACCCGACTTGACCCGAATATATGAATTAGAAACCCGACCCGAAATAATAAAAAAAATATTTTTATTCAATAAAAACAGTGACTTAATTGAAATATATATATATATATATATAGGTATTATTGTAATAATTCCTAAATATATAAGGTAAAAATATATATTTTTTGGGTCGGGTCAAGTCGGGTATTTTTCACCCTAAACCCAAACCCGACCCGACCCAAATATCACACTTTAAAAAAACCGAGCCGACCAAAATAAAGTTTCACCGACCCGACCCGAATATATGAATTAGAAATCCGATCCGACCCGACCCGAAATAATAAAAAATTATTTTTATTCAATAAAAACAGTGATTTAATTGAAAAAAAATTATATATAGAGGGGTATTATTGTAATTATTCCTAAATATATAAGGCAAAATTATATATATTTTCGGGTCGAGTATATTTCACCCTAAACCCGAACTCGACCTGACCTGAATATCACACTTAAAAAACCGACCGACCCGACCAAAATAAAGTTTCACCCAACCCGACCCGAATGTATGAATTAGAAAACCGACCGATCCGACCCGAAATAATAAAAAAATATTTTTATTAAATATATAAATAAGTTACCAAAAGATTGATGAGGGTAGTATGGTCAAATTTCAATTCCCTTCAACAAGAGAATTGAATTCTATCATAGAATGAATGAAATTCACTTTCCCTCATTTGATGTAAAGGTAAAGTCATGAGAGATTCCAATTCCCTTGGAAAACTTGAACCAAAAATGAGAAAAGTGGTAGAATTAGATTTTAATTCCCCCTAATTTTAATAGATTCATGCGAACCAAACGTCACCTAAGAGAATTGTTGATATTCTTAAATGATTGAACTTTGAATTTCATGTCATTTCAATTAAACACGTACAGATGTACGTTGACAGGATTATCCTTCCTTAGACAATCCCCAAAGATCGGCTTGCTTTAGATGAGCACTTCATATGCGATTGATTGATTAATATTCTGTTTGTTGTATGATTACCATTCTTCGATTCTTCTTCGTCTAAACAAAAAGAAGAGAAAAGTTGATGACAGAACATATTCTTGACTGATCTGACGTTTAAAAGAAAAGAAAAAAACATAGCACTATTACTGTTGTCTAAAAGCCTATTTTTGCACGTTTATGGGTATCACAGTTTTGTGCTTAAGCTCATATTTGCCGTACGTGATGAATCTGTTATGTATCTTAATTGTATGTTTAACTTAGTTGGTAGAGCACAAGGCTTTTAATCTTGTGGTCGTGAGATCGAATCTCACTGAAGGCAATTCATAACAGAGGTCTTCTACGGAAACTGTTTTCAACCTGACGTTGGGAGCAGCCTATTATCCTACCTCCCACTTACCTCATTACATATGAAATAGGGTCAGTTATTTTTTTTGAAGATCCAAAATTGAATAGTTATATTTACGATTGTATGTATGTTATAATAAGTTAAGAAAAATTTTAAATATATAAATCTATGTAATCGTAATAACTATTTAAAAAAAATTACTAATTGATCACGTATTAACAAAATCAAACATGGGAAAATCACTGCAACAGACTTTTGTCATTTGTAGGCTTAACTATCACTTTCAAGTGATAAACTTAGGCTTAACTATCGACATATTTTTTAATTTTTTCCTTTTATATGATTCTATTTAATAGAATAAATAAATTTCATTTCTATTTGTGGGTGAATATCTTGTTAATTTGTAGTTGTACTACCCAAAACACCATAATGCAATCGAAAATGACAAATAAAAATACCCTATTTGCATCCAAGAATATGGATCAAAGTACACATGATTTTGTGTTTAAAGTTTGGTAACCTCTTTGTGGAAGATTTCTATTGGGCTTGGGCTTGTAAGTGGCAATCCTTCTTAAATCTAAATTGACAAATATATCCATGCTTAAAAATAAATAATCTATTTCGTAATATGATATCTTAAGTTATGTCAGGTTCCAGATTTTTTTTTATTTTAAATATATTATCTTAAGTCATGTTAGGTCTGATTTTTTTTTACCTTAAATCTAACTTCATATCGACTTTAACTCTTCTTCTCATAAAATCTATCTTGATTTTTTTTTTAAAAAACGATCCTATAATATCATGTTAAATCAAAGCTCATCGAATTCAAATAATTTGATCATCTCTAATACTTATCAATTTAATATATTTTCTTTTGTTATTGGTGTATATGGATATATAATTTTCTTTTGTTAAGAGTAGTACGTATTGACACTACTATATTTCAATGTATCGTTTTTAATTTGTTAATGATTTTTAAAAGTATTTTTTTATATAATATTTAAAAAACAAAATATATTTCAAATATGATATACCCGTCAATAAAATATAATGTTATAAAATAAATTTCAAGAAATATTTAGAAGTATCAACAAATTCGGAATGTAATACAATTTTCATTCATAATAATATTAATAATATACAAATATTTATATATATTTCTAATAAATAAGAGAACAAAACAGATAATTAATTAGTATTGACTATAAGCAATTAATTAAAATTACCTTAAAGTTGGGTCATGCTCAACGCCCTTGAAGTAACCATCCACGTTCTCACTCTCTTTTTGAAGTTATGCACGGACATAAGTGGTGAGATTTTGACGATTATTTGATGAAAAAGACCATTATATTTAAAGTTGGGGCATAATTTAGGTATTTATTTTTACATTAAATCAAAATATAAACATGACACGTGTTTCTTAACGATTTTTTTAATGGTTGTTACTGCGTAGGCACTAAAAGTGTCACATAAAAAATATTAGACGCCTAAATGTGTAAAGTCAAAAACGTTATGAATCTTTTTTAAAAAAACTAACCTCTTGTGATTAATGAGTCATATTATCAAATTAACAATAGTAACAAATAGGTGACCAAAATATAACAATCGATAACATAAGTGATTGAAACGTAATTTTTTAAATTTAGAGAGTAAAAATATACAAATATAAAAGAAAAGTGATCAACCTGATAACTTACCCCTTAAAACAATTATGTACAGAACGCGAAGCAAATGTTAACAACGCGAGTTGTCCCATCTTATTTACCAAAGAACATTAGGTATAAGAAAAAAGACAGACGCAGAAATTTATATTAAGGAATGTAAACTTAATAAATTATTTTAGAAATTTAAGGGTGTAGAGTTATAAAATTTTAAGGGATGTAAAATTAGATCATCAATAAAAAGAAAAAGAAAAAAAATCTAAAATATAAGGAAATTCGAAGTTTCTGAAAGGGGCAACTGCAACCCCGCATCCCCTCGGTCCATCTCCGGATACAAATGCATAGACATCTAAAAGAATCAGCTCAAGGCAAAATATATGTATATCTTCATAGTATTCTCAATCGCAAAATTCCCAAATATGGATTTAAAAGAAACAATGATTAAGGAGATTAAATGACATCAACACCTGTTATTTTTCTTGGAATGATCAAACACAGCTCACGGCTCAGTTAAATGACAATCAAGTTGCGAATGGTAGAGCTTCATCCCCTGGCAAAATAGTAGGTTTTCAAACTTCTTCGACCTACAAGTGACGATTTATCATATTAACAACTAATTAACAGGATTATATTGGCAATTATAGATCAAATAGAAAAGGCATGTATATAATAGTCGAAATGGTTCCTTGTTTATCAAAGATTAAGGAGATTGAATCACCTGTGGGAGGCTCATTAATTCAAGAACAGCTTTCTTCGGGGTCAGCTCGCTGTCCATAATCTGAGCAACTGCTGTCAGGACTGGCATTTTAACATTATATTTTTGGGCCAATGCAATCACAGCTCCAGCGGTCGACACACCTTCAGCTACCTAAAGCATGACTAATCATGTTAATGCCAGATTTTAAAGGTCAACAACCAGTTTAAAACTTTACAAGAACCTGATTCATGGAACCAAGTATATCTTCAAGCTTCTCCCCTGATCCAAGACGAACTCCTACTGTTTTATTTCTTGAAAGATTTACAAAACATGTAAGCATGATGTCTCCAGTTCCAGATAGACCAGTAATTGTTGCTGGCTTTGCGCCCATCTATAGATGTGTGCTAAAGATTTGTTAGAGAACACAATTATATATTTGAATGAACAACATGAAGCTTATCGATATTCTATCAACAAAAAAAAAGTCAAAAGAGGAAGAGAAACGGTGAAACTGAAGGTAAATCCTCATAGCTAATGTTGGGGGCATTAGAGACAATATGGATTTTACCTTTGTTGCTAGCCATCGAATCTCAGAACAGCCTTGTGCTACAAGAGCTGCCATGGAATTATTACCGAGATTCATGCCTTCAACAATCCCAGCAGCTATTGCAAGTACATTCTTGAGGGCACCGGCAATTTCAACCCCTGTAACATCCCTGAGGTTATCAGAGGTTACAACCTGAGCATATGCACATCAATAGTTACTGTAACTCTTGACCGCCTATACAATCAACCATACGAAAACTGCATTATATGGACCTAAAGCATAGGTCTTAGGACACATAAGGCTCTTAAGCAGAGAGAGGTAAATTTGGAAAATGTGGTTCAGAAGTGGTTAAATTAGAACCTCATCACAGGTGTGGAAGAATATTAATTGGAATGCAGCACAACCAGAGTGATGAAGATACTTGAAGGAAAGAGAACCATAAACAATGTTTTACATATTATACAAAATCTTTGTTAGTTTGATATGATGAAAATCCTCTACCTTGAAGTGCTGATCCTTAAATGACTACAAGACAATAGCTGCTGAACAGCACCAGCCAATTTTCTGTCTTTTGATGCCACCACCATTGCTGCAAAAAGAAAATGAATAGCAAAGGAAAACATATAGTAAACCAAGATATATGAATTGGTTGAAGGTATTACAAATATACAATTTATCATATACAGGCAAGTTACCTGTTGGTAATTTATTCATCAATTCTAATGCAAATGAAGGCCCTGATAGTGCAATAAAAGGTTGCCGAGGGTTCTTTAATGCTTGAGGAATGATTTGAGACATCATTCTCAATGTATTGAGTTCCAAGCCTTTGCTAAGGGATATAAATGGCAAGCCAGGATCAACATGTTCTGCAATTTCCTTGAGAAACGATGTACTAAACTGCAGTACAGGAAGCAAGATTCAGGTAGTCGTCCCATGGTACAAAATAAGCTAAATAAGTTTTGCAAGTTTGATATTAAACAGAATTAAACAGTCATATGACACCCAATTGAAGGTGCCCATCGTGGACGATCAAGTTTATGAGAGAATACTTAACAGAATGGATCTCAGATTTGAGAACAAATAAGCATCAACATAATAAATGATTTGAAAGACCTGCACAGGTACAGCATGAAGACAATAATCTGCCCTGAGCAAAGCAGTTCTGGCATCAGAAGTTGCAATTACATTTTCTGGTAGCTTGTGGTCAGGGAAGTATTTACTGAGAACAGAAAAGAGAAATAATGTTCCAAGATCAATAAAATTGCATGAGTAACACCGTATAAACATAATTTCCATGAAATTCAAAAACTGAAAAGAAGAAAACCCACTAATTACAATGGTTCTCATTAATGGACCGGCAAACTGCAGGATCACGGACAAGAATGCTAACTTCCATTTGATCCTTCCTATTAGCAATATGTGCGGCCATTGCAGTCCCAAAAGATCCTCCCCCTAGCACCACCACCTTCAAGCCAAATAAAAAAAAGGTAAAATAAACATATTGTGCCATAGCCTAGTTGGTTTTGTAGCAGTTCTCATTTTACATATGATTTTCAAGAACAGGGGAGAGTTTTTATTTCCTTACAAAATAATTGTACTTGAAGCTCCAAATTTGTTCATTATCATAATCGCTAGATGACAATTTCTCTCCAATATAACTTTTTCGTTTTTCCCCCCAAATATTCTGGAAATGAGAATCGAATTAGATATCTCCTTGTTTACAAAATCTCTCCTTTTACATGAAAGCCAATTTCTTTCACTATCATCATTTATATTTTCTCTAGAAACTTAAATTTCTACGCCTAAAATAATCAAATTCACGCAAAAATGACCAAAACAAAAGAGAGAGGGAGAGAGGGAGAGAGGGAGGAAAACTAGAAAAAGTTGTCGCACCGAAATCTATCAAAATTCTTAAACACAATTACAACATGAGACGGCCAGCAAAAGGGCAGATAAAGAAGAACCTTTTTAGTTCGTTCAAGAACATCAGTTTTGGCCCTGGAGCGCCAAGAACGAGACCATCTAAGAAGCTTCTCCCAAGCAATGCGGACGACTTTCCGGCGATCCCGGGTCCTTTCAGGGGAAAGCTGAAGTGAGTTTTTGTCGGGATCTTGAGGGAGTAATGGAGATGGCGAAGGAGTCACTGCACAGCAAGTGGGAATGAGTTGAGGCTTTGAAGGAAACATTACGTATGGGTTTTTTGAGGTGAAAACTGGGTTTAGTTTAAATACGAAAAGTGGTTCAAGAAGAGCTTCCATTTTGATTGGAACGAAGCAAAGGGAAATGAAGGGAGTACGAGTATTTTCTCCATTTTGTTATGCAACATTTCGGTTTTATCCGTTACGTACGGCGCTTCCGCCATCTCCCGTCCTTTTCAGTACATTTAATGGGCACCCACTTCGCTTTTCTTGGCCCAAAAGGTCCATTGGACAGAAAAGGTCACTTTATTTCATCTTTATTCACTGACATTAAAAAGTTAATTATTTGGTTATTTATATTATCGAATTATAACATATTAGTCACTGGAATATTAATTATTGTTTATTTGATCACGTGACACAATATTAAAAAGATTTATTTTCTAATTTTATGTATAATTTTTAGATAAAATACTAATTAAACTCCTAAAATTTAGATAATATATCAATTTGATCCTTAAATTTTAGATAAAATATCAATTTAACTCCTAAATCCAATCAGAGTCCTCTATCGTTGATTGTCCCTCACTACCACCGTCGCTCACTCATTTTTGGCTTCATGAACGCGATCTGATGATAAAAAATGTCTTGAATTCCACAAATCTAGTCTAGAACCCCTTGACATCCTTTAAAATTAAGCCATAATAATAAAAAAATTTATTAAGAAATTTAAATTTATATCACAATTAAGCTCAATGATTTTTTATAATGCTATAAATTTAGATAAAATATTAATAAGGTTAATCTCTTTAGATTCAAGTCAAAATAAATTAGTTAGTACTCAATTCACAAGTATCCAGATTATAAATTGAAGGGATGTTTGTTTGCCTCTTAATGGAACCATTCAGCGCGTTTATTTCGTACCTCTGAATGATTCAGTGCTGACTGATTCAACAAAACAGTGCTGAATGATTCAACACAGAAGTACATTCTGAATGATTTAGAGCCATTATCAAACAACATGTCACATTCAGAGTTAATTCATACAGAACCTCTGAATCATTCAGCATTTGAATCATTCAGTGCTTAATCATTCTGAAGTAAACAAACATCCCCTGAGTCTCAATACCGAGTTGTTCAGCCTTACCATCCTGAAGTGAGAGGTATTAAAACATGATTGAATTGATGGGTCAAGGGATCCCAAAACGCACGATGATATGATTGGTTACTTATAATAATTAGTTCAGCTCCGATATTAAAATTTGATTTTAATAAAATATAAATACCTAAATAAGAAAATTTGTTTCATTATAATAATAATATTAATAATATTCTTATTATTTATCCTTAATTCGAGTAGTGAAAAATGGTTCATAGAGATCATGTAATACCCCTAACTTGATTCATGGTAAACCAAATTGAAGATATCACATTAATTTATTGGAACTTATATTTGATCGAATCAGAAATTTAACCATTCATACAATCACACAAAAATCAATTTAAGAACTAAAATATAATACATATTAATCATGGGGTTAATATACAATATAATACTTTAAAAGGCTTTAAATGTCATTTTCTTACATTTTAAGGGTCGAATATCAATACTCAACTTTATAGGATTGGTACATATTGATGAGTATTAATATATATACTTAATATCGATATCAAAACTGGATATCGTTTTGAATTGTACCAATAATACAATAGAAGTATCGATACTAATTATATAAAAAAATTGATTTTTTAACACATTTTAACCCTCTTTCATGTGCTCTTAATCATCGTATAAGAAACTAAATATGAAAATCATCTAAAATATACCTCAAAGGCACACAACATATATCTTTCTACAACAAACAATTGAGAGTTTAGTCATATCATAACATACAGTGCACAACTTTCATAAATGCTCATATATCTCTAGAGACTTAACTTAAGCATGAATTATACATACGTAACGGTCCTTAACTTATATCATATACATACTAGACATGCCGAGATCATAACCATCATACACCTATACAACTTTAACTCATTCGTTACATTGTACAGGAGCACGATGAGTAAACAAAGGACCACAATTTGAATGTTGAAACAAAAGTTTACACATTTAAGTGGTGTTTATTTTCACTGTTGAATGTCTTCAAAGCTCTTATGTCTGCGCCGCGCAGACCACACGTAGACATTGGGCTTCACAGACCGTTTGTTTTTTAGAAGACAAAGCTCTTCTAACGTCTGCGCGTCCTCTTCTTGGCGCAGACGTGGCCTTATGTCTTCAAAGCTCTTCTAACCTCTTCAAAGAACATTAAATTATCAATTATGTTTTTAAAATTTTAAAATATAATCACAATTAAATAAAAAATAATCATAAAATAATTTGATAAATTAAAAAAATATTTTCTAAAAATATTTTTATAATTATAAAAATAAATTATGAATATATATATTTAAAAAAATTAAAAGTATTACATAATTGCATAAAATTATTGAAAATATTCAAATAAAATTTTAGTTGCAATTAAAGAGTAAATGAGAAATTTTCCACTAATATAGTATGTACGATCTGTTTTTCCTTTTTAACAAAAGAAAGGAAAGAACTGGAGGTGTATGATTCATTGATTAATAACAGTTTAATGATAATTAATGTTGCTGTGCCATACGTAATAAAATTCAAAATTTAGTATTTTTATATAACTTTAGATAATTTAATGTTAAAAAAAATCATATAATTTAATGATCATTTATAAATTTTATTATTTATAAATTTTATTCTATAAAACTTATAAAAATTAATAATACATGTGATTATGTGAGACTTATAATAGAATTAATAAAGCGGTGTTTATTTTTCTAAAAAAATTATTATTGTAGTTGTATGAATTATTTAAATTTCAGTATTGTAAAACTAAAATTATTTAAATTTCAGTATTGTAAAACTCTTTTAAGTTTAAAAAATCAGTTTATTTATATTTCAGTTTATTTTAGCAGTCTGCAGAAATTAAAAAATAAACAGTATTCTTCTTGCAGACGACATACTTTTGGTTTACCTCTTCTACTGCAGATATGGTCCGGACCACGCAAACCTTTTACGTCTGAAAAAACAAAAACCACCTTGAATCTCCCTAGGTTCACATACACCTAATTTTTAGTAAGAAAGAGCGGCCAAATTCTTTCGATGGCTTCCATCTTTACTTTGATTCATTTATACTGTAGGCATCAGAAACTCAACAATCAATGGAAATGCAATTCTGCGCTAAGGTTTTGCTGTCGAGGGTGTTGAGAAAAGGGTTGATTCGGACCCAGACAAGAGAGAAGACAGAGGCAAGTACTGACCATATAAGGGTGATGGTTGAGGTTCTGTTCTGTCCACCCATGAGACCTTTGAAGAAAGGATAGAGATGGAGGATGACCCAGAAGGAGAAGAAGACTTTCACAAAGAGTGGTCCCCAAGCATCATACCCTTTGTTGAGAGCATCGGAGAATCCAGCAATAGCACCCACCATGTTGACGATGAGAAGTGTTGTTGGGGGATCAAAAGTGTTGTCCATTTCACAATGTAGAGTTCACCAAACTCTGCATCTTCACCTGCTTTAACTGTCACGGTAAGGTTGGTGTCAATCCCTGCCAGCATCTTCATAAACCCTTGGAAGACAGCAAACAGATGTGCAGAAAGCAAACCGATAAGAAGAATAAGAAGACATGTTAGTTTTACACGTGGTTTTTTTTTTGAATTTTTTTATTTTTTAATTATCAACTCAGATTTTTGTTGATAGGTTAACGAAAATTTACCGTTGAGGGATTTAAACCGAATGAATTGATAACGTAAGTGATCAAATGTACTTAATTTTTTAATTAAAGACGAAATTTGGTTAGACTGAAGATAACGGGGACTATTCGTATCATTTATCCAATATTTAGATATCAAATTGAAAAAAATTATAATTATGAGATGAAATCGCAAATTAAACCTTTGTTGTAATATACGAGGAAAGCGACGTCGTATAGTTCCGGTGAGGATTCTGCTAGTTTCCTTCTCCTTTGCCTTTGCCTTTGTATTCCACTAGATTCCGAAGACAAATCTAAAACCCTACTGCTCCGCTCTTTGGGAAATCACCAAATTTGCTACCTCAAATTCCCAATCTTGCCCCTAAAAGATGCTAAATTTCCTTTGATTACCATGTCTTCCGAGGAAATCAGCATCCAGAACGGCCTCAACGTCTTCCAAGCCGACTCCATAAGTGCCTTTAATTGCGGACCTCCGACTACTACTCGACCCGGCTCCAAGACCCGAGAACTCACCGGCTTCATCGACGACAAGATGTTCTCATTCCCTCCCTCTCAACCACCCGAATTTCGCTCCTCCAACATCTTCGCCGCCTCCGCCTCCGCAGACCGCCGAGACCCGCCCAGCCGTCACCATCGAAATTGGGAGAGAAGCGCCGAGGGTTGCTCCACAAACAGTGGCGACGACGAATCTGACGGGGACGATGTGGATGACGAGGAAGACGAGGATGATGATGACGATGACGGAGAAGATGGCGACCAAAATAATAATAATAATAATAACCGCAGTAATAATATAAACATAAATAATAAAAGTACTAGTGGAAATGAGACTGTAAGTAACGCAGGAAGTGGAAACCCCGAAAATATGGGAAACGGAAAAGCAAAGCATCCCTTCGGTTAGTTTTCTGTTATTTATTTTATTCCTTCTATTTTGAGAAATTTTATTGGTTTCTATATGAAGAAAGGAGGTTTATTCATTTATTTTTGTTTCTTTGTTAATTATTGTTGGAAAGTGGGAGGGAGCTGCAGAGAACTGGTAGTGAAGGAAGGAGGAATAGGGCTGGGTGTGGGAGACGGTAATACTTATCAGAATGCAGTGACAATTGCCGATCCCAATGGGGATATTTATTACACGCAGTATTTGCAAGGTGGAGAAGGGTCTGCTGCTAGTGGTGGTAATGGTCAGAAGGATACCTTGGTGGGGAATGGTGGTGGTGGATGTGGGTTTAGTGGGAGGAAAGATGTTTCCTTTATGAATGAGTCCGGTGAGTCCTTGCGGACCATTTTTTCCGACCCTGTCACGTAAGTAGTACTAAACTTCAAGGAATAATTACTACTATTTTATTTCTACCCCTGA